CCCATATAAGAGCTTTGGTATAACTATACTCTCATACATTCCCCTCTTTGCTTCCATGGACAAAGTTATTCATCTCCACAGACTCCTAAGTGCACCACTCACCTTTTTCCCCTCATCAATTCTATGATTCACCTCCTCTTTCATAGACTCATCTGTTGACACAACCACTCCTAAATAATTTTGCAGATACAGTAGGGCCCCGCTTTACGGCATTTCGCTTTATGGCATTTCGCTAATACGGACATTTCAAATTACGACCAAAACTTGCTATATAGCTCCCCTCACATGATTTTCTAATATAGTCACCGCACCCCACCCGGTTTGTTTACATTCTCCGTGAGCTCTGTGAGCACTGCCTTTCTCCATTATGTCTGGAAACTTTCCAAAATTTCAAGTTTTAAAAGTTATTTCATATTTTATATATACTCTGATAATTATACTTATGTATACCTGTACCTAAATGTACAGGGGACCCCCGGCATATGATGGCATCGGTATACGTTAAATCCGGTATACGATACATTTTAACGCAAAAATTTTGCCTCGCCACTCGTTAAAAAACTCACCACACGCGATTCGTCTGGGATGCGTCCACATGTGGCCTGAACTGCCCTGTGCGTGCCAGTGTTTACAAGCCAGCCAGTGTGCTCGCATCTAAGCATACATTCGGTACATTCCAAATTATCACAGTGTTTTTGGTGCTTGTTTCTGCAAAATAAGTCACCATGGGCCCCAAGAAAGCTTCTAGTGCCAACCCTGTGGTAAAAAGGGTGAGAATTAGTACGGAAATTAAGAAAGATTTTGAAGGGTTTGGGGCTAACCCTGAGAAGCCTATGCCAGTTGTGGAATCCATTGTGCCTACTTCAAAAATTAAGGAAATGTGCGCAAAGTGGGTTGAACTGCAAACCTTTATGGATGAAAATCACCCTAACACAGCTACTGCAAGCCGTGCTGGTGACTATTACAATGACAATGTTGTGGCCCATTTTAGACAAATCTTAAAGAAACGGGAGGTACAGACCTCTATGGACAGATTTGTTGTGTGACAGAGGTCCAGTGACTCTCAAGCCGGCCCTAGTGGCATTAAAAGAAGCAGGGAAGTAACCCTGGAAAAGGACTTGCTACCTTAAGTCCTAATGGAAGGGGATTCCCCTTCTAAACATTAACAACTTCAACACTCTCCCCTCCTCCCATCCCATCAATCATCACCAGATCTTCATTAAAGGTAAGTGTCATGTATTCTATTGCTAGCAGAGTACTACTAACTGTGCATGTCTTCTTCAGTTTGTGTGCATCAAACTTAATATTTCATGTGGTAAAACGGTTTTTTTCATACTACTTTTGGGTGTCTTGCACGGATTAATTTGACTTCCATTATTTCTTATGGGGAAAATTAATTCGCCTTCCGATAATTTTGGCATACGATGAGCTCTCAGGAACGGATTAATATTGTATACTGGGGGTCCACTGTACTTACTATGCTGGTGTGCAGGTACACTTTAAAATCAGTAAGAGTGTCTTATGTCTCAAGACACCATATTAGTAATGATAATAATAATAATCACCGAGTCTCACTAAATGTCGTATATTACATTAACCCCTTCAGGGTCCAAGGCCCAAATCTGAAGTGGTGCCCCAGTGTCCAAGAATTTTCAAAAAAAAAAATTATTTTTTCTTATGAAATGGTAGAGAATCTTTTTGTGAAGGTAATAAAACAAAAAGTACGAAATTTGATGGAAAATTGACGAAATTATGCTCTCGCGAATTTTGATGTGTCAGCGATATTTACGAATCGGCGATTTTGCCGACTTTGACTCCCATTTTAGGCCAATTACATTATTCCAGTCAACCAAATTCTTAGCTATTTCACTAGTATTGCTTCTATTCTATCGATTGAGCACAAGAAATCGTCAAGTCAACTGTTTCAACTACAAATTAAAGTGATCGGAAATTGTTAATTTGACCAATTTAACACAAAGTTCAAAATATTCCAATTTCAAAATAGGGTCCAGAATAAACAATGCAGGTATTCCTGGAACTAAACTAACATTTCCTCTGTTCATTAGTTAAGTTTTGAGGCTTTACAAATAAATTCCAATTTGATTTTTTATTCACATAATGAATTTTTATTCACACCAAAAAATAGAAGATTTACTGTTATGCAATACTGTAATAATTGTATAAATATCATCACCATATTTGTGAATGCATATTAGACCCACCAGCTGGCGTGTATTAGACGTGTGAGGTCGTTTGTTTACTCTTGAATATCGGCAAAAATTTAACATTTCTGCTACTTTGAGCTCAGTTTCAAGCCATTTCCAGTGCGAAAACCAATCAAAATCATCTATATTTCTGTAATATGTCTTCCATTCTATCAAATGAGACCAAGAAATCGCAAATAGAACTATAAAAAACATACGAAAAAACACTGCAAAGTCGCTATTTTAATCGAAAAATCATGATTTCAGTTTTTTTCTCTCATTATACACAGCGTGCTGCAGGATCTGTTTTATGTGGTGCACACATACCACATAGATGTATTCTCTCATATCTAGGCCCAAATGTACCACTCACAGTTTATCAGAGTGAGCTGAGGTCATGACGTAGATCTACGGTTTGGACCCTGAACGTAAAGCCGTAGATCTACGGGACGGACCCTCAAAGGGTTAATATACACATTTTCATTAATCCATCTATGATATTTTTTTCAAAATTATATAATAAACACGATACGTAACACATAAACATGATAAATACACCCCACAGTAGAATAAATTAACATAAATATGAGATGTGGTAGCCAGACGACTTGTAGGAGTGTCGGCAAGAATAACGTTTTCTCAAGTCCAATATCAGAGAAAATGTGTTACTGGGAGTAACTATAGAAAATTATTCCTTTCATATGCCTTCGTTCAGAGTGTCATTTCTTCTAAAAATGGTGTTACATGAGAATGGGAGTGTTGCTCTTTATTTATTCTACTGCATCAATGTGGAGACAACTTGTACACATTGTAACTTGTACACAAACCAGACGCATTCGCCTGGTTTATTTACAAGACTCACGCCCGCCTGGTTTGTTTACATAACTCTGTGCCTGTCCTCTCTCATGTACTCATTCTCTCTTTCTCTCATTTATTTGTTTTATCTCATTTACTTACCTCTGACCCTACATTAAGACTACAAATATTTTAAGGTAAGTAATGAGTGTACTATATGAATATTTTACTTTTTTATTGTTTGTTCATGCCTAGTTCTATTGCTAACTTAATATATGTTAGTTTAAACTTGTTATCTAGTATTTATATGCATTTATAAGTGAAAAAAAAAGGGCGTTCCACTTTACAGTGATTTCTGCTTTACAGAGGTAGCCTGGAACCTAACCTGCCATATAAGTGGGACCCCTACTGTTCTGTATAAACTGACTGTAAAAACTTTTATTAGAACATTATGTAGGTGGGTTGAATGTACACCAGGAACTTACCTTTTATTCCCATTAGTAAATAAAATATTTGTTTCTTTATTGGCTATTTCACCAAAGGCTTAGACACCTAACAAAATAAATTATAAATGTTTACTGTATTAATAACAGTATTGTACATTTTTTACCTAAAACATTGGCATTATGTTCAACTGCATAAAGATTTTGGTAATAAACAGGTCTGTTAACTTAGACACAAACTAAGCAACTAGAAGTAGTATATCTTGGCTTAACAGTTTTTCTGAATGACAGACACATGAGTCAACACAAGCTGACTTCATAATCCAGTATAGCAATCACATGCAATAATATTATTACATTAATTTTCTAAGCAAAGTTATGACTTGTGATAACCCCTTAAATTCATCCTGTTTTATCATGTAGCTGTGCAATACATAGGTGAAAATTCATTCATGGGTATTTCAGACTTCTGCTATTTTACAACAGTGTACACATTATACTAGCATATCTATGTGTGACTTTATGAATACATTATCTACATAAATAAGGAGTTTCTTGCTTAATACTCTAAGCTCATTTAAAATGAGAAACTATTCTGACAGAAAAACTAAACACAGATAGTAAAGATCTGTGTATTTTAGCTTTGGTAAGAGACCCTATTCAGCAGATCTCTGATTGGAACCAAAATATACAGATTTCTTTTACATGTGATTCATTTTTCTGTCAAAGTGGGTTTTCACTTTTCATCAGTGTTCATCACACCTTAATCCAAGCACACTATGCTCATATAAAGAAAAAATAAAAGCATATATATCCATATTTATTCATTCATTCCTGTATCATCACTAATGACATTCACTTAAGAGCTTTTCATGCAGCCAACATCTGATCCCAGGCTTCTCTCCATCTACTCGTACTCTACAGTAAAGACACATGCTGACCCAATATAATGCTCTCTCCTCATTTGTATCTAAGCAATGCTATGTGTTTACGAATATTTCTAAAAACATTACTAGCCTGCAAAACATTCATTGTCAAAATATCTATTTCTGCAGCATTTTGGGCAGTATATACTAAATACAGTATATAACAGTTTCCTGAGTTTCATTGAGAAATGTATCTAAACTTAAATCTACTAATGTACCTGTAAGCCAGTTTGCTCAAATAGATTAAATACTATACAAGCTCAGCGAGACTCCAGGCAACAGAAATGCAAATATTGCAAGGAAAATTTTAAGTGACATCACAAGTGGAATGGCACTCAGACAGTTCTTCACAGCTCATAATCTACAAACTACCAAAGGATTCTGAGCCTATTTTACAATACGGTCTAAAGCCATCATCACTTGAAGAGTCACAAAGAGGCAGATATTGTATTTGGAAGAGCATTCAGGACATGCCATTTGGTGCAGTTTTAACCCCGTGAGAGGTAAAATTTTTACTCCTGGAAAGGACAATGCATTAAACTGTTTATTACAAGACATGTTCATGGGAAGGGGAAGGGCATCACCATGGCAACTAGAGGATTAGGGGAGGGAACCTGAGGGTACACAAATACCTGGTGGTGAGGTCGCGGCTGCCACACAGTACGGGGGAGGGAAGAGAAGGGGAGAACACATGTTAGTCATCCGCGTCACAGCGGAAACATATATGAGAGGCGGGGTTACTACTGTGTATTTACAGTGTTGCCAAGGAAGACAGTAGAAAGGGCTAACTGAATAATGTCACTAAGGCATAAAATACTAACATATCTTATCTCTGTTAATAAAGGCAATTTTATTTTACAAACATAAATGATAGATACCTCATTGGATATGACTGATCTAAAATTAATGTTTAAACTATGAAGTTAATTTGTAGCAAAATTTAAATACATTGGCAACACTGAATAATATTATGGAGAATCAAAGGTCACTTAACTGACAATTAATTAATGCAGAAGTAAGAGAGAGAAAGGGAAAAAGGCTTTCACAACCTTATCAAAATAATTAAAGTGAAAGTTAAGTTAATAAAAGTATCAGTGACAATTTAACTGGTATGTAGGAAAATACAGAGGGCACAAAAAAAAACTAAATCACAGACAAAACCTAAAAAATGCATTTTCCAAAAAATACCAAAAAAAAAAAAAATAAATAAATAAATAAATAAATAAATAAAAAATATACAAAAAAAAAAAAAAAAATCAAAACCTAAGTAGGAATGCTGGTACTATAACTCACCAAGACAACTACAGAAGAAAGAACAGTATATGCGGCAACAGAATTGGTAAAATAATTTTAACATTCCTGATACCAGTGTAGTGATAGTATATACACTAATAATATATTATTTACACACTAAGACAGCTGAGAGCCTAAATAATTTACACACCAACAGACAGCATGGCATATGATGATACAACCATTTGCAATTATTTCTTGTCAATTCTACAGTACAGTCCACCACTGAAACACACAAAGGCATGTAAAAAAAAAAAAAATAAATAAAAATCTACAAAACTCTGGCTTATGTACTGTCTTGCACTACGCATCTAAATCAGTCTTTATTCTTTGTAAAAATAAAATATATTTATCTTGCACTATGCGTCTAAAATCAAATTTCATAAAATATGAATTGCATTTCAACGGTCAGAATTCTACTTACAGACGCCTTGTAAGGTTTGGAAAATATCACAATAAATGGCAAGCAGCTAAAAACTTGAAAATTCATAATGGTATAGAAGATTTGGGAACACAGCTAGAGAAAGAGATCCATAACTAATTAACTAAATCATTTGAAAATGCAATAAAAATAATCAAATGTCAGAGTAGGTTTAGGAGGAGAGTTAAAGAGGGTTTATCAGTTATTAATGTGCTTTACACAGGGTGATAAATCAAAACTACATGTAATCTTGCATGAAGGAAACATAAGAAAATTATGGTTGAAGTCTAGCCAGTGACAGTATGTTAAAATTATACAGAAATGTAATATGCTTTGACCATACTCTGTAGGAATCTCTTCTTGTTCAACTACAGCATTTCCATCAAGTGATCAATACTAGAGGTCCAGGGGAAGAACATTATTCTAATGTTAATCTGCTTCATTTCTAATTCAAAAATATTTAAAAAAAAATGGGCTCTAATAACTAGGGTCAAGGAATATAACTATGCCTCCAAACATTTGATTATTCTTTATAATATCAAATATGCAATTTTATATCGAAAGTAGAAAACAATGAATAGGGTAAAAATTTTTGAAAAAACTGCAGGGACCTCTTAAAAATTTCATACACAGATAAATAATCTTTAGACAGCAAATAAATTATATTGCAAGTTGTTTATAGTTAGCAAACAACTCTTTCATATTATTTTACAACAATAATAACAACAACAAAAAGTTCAAATTAGGTACATTTATGTTGTTGTAAAATAATAGATAAATTTTGGTTATGTGCATAATTCAACACTACTCTCTTCATTCCATAGTACGAAAATGTTACTTTACTAGCAAAATAAATACATATTTTATTTCAACATGCTAGTATTTGTTTCACATCTTTCCACAAAAATATGCCTAATCTCGCTTGCAGCTTTAAGAGAATTTCTCCACTGTGATACTGTAATATGCCTTCCAGATTTATATTTGTTATGCATATTCATCACAAATATATCTAGCAAAAGATATGATATTAGCTATACTGCAGTTGTAGCCTGCGACAAATAAATGCATTTATTTTACTATCTTTTGCAGTATGAAAACCTACTCTCCCTATAAGGGTGAATAAATGACCTAGGAATATCCTCTCAGTAAATGCATGTACCTATATTTACTAGTATTATGAGCTTCCTCTCCACTTATTGCTTAGTTATTGCCTTATGCTTCCATTTTCTTTTTTTTTTATTTTATTAACACATTGGCCTTCTCCAACCCAAGCAGGGTGGCCCATAAAAGATAAACTTTCATCATTCACTCCATCACTGTCTTGCCAGAGGCACACTTACACTACAGTTATAAAACTGCAACAATAACACACCTCCTCCAGAGTGCATACACTGTACTACCCATCTCTAGGACTCAAGTCCAGCCTGCTGGTTTACATGACTCCATAAATGTTACCTTGCTGACACTCCAACAGCACGTCAAGTCTTAAAAACCATTTGTCTCCATTCACTCCTAACACGCTCACACATGCTTGTTTAAGTCAAAGCCCCTCGCACACAAAACCTCCTTTACCCCTCTCCCTCCAACCTTTCTTAGGCTGACCCCTATCCCGCCTTCCCTCCACTACAGATTTATACACTCTCGAAGTCATTCTATTTTGCTCCATCCTCTCTACATGTCCGAGCCACCTCGACAACCCCTCCTCAGCCCGTTGGATAACAGTTTTAGTAATCACACACCTCCTCCAAATTTCCAAACTACAAATTCTCTACATCGTTTTCACACCACACACTGCCCTCAGACGTGACATCTCCACTGCCTCCAGCCTTCTTGTTGTAATATTCACCACCCATGTTTCACACCCATATAAGAGCATTGGTATAACTATACTCTCACACATTCCCCTCTTTGCTTCCATGGACAAAGTTATTCATCTCCACAGACTCCTAAGTGCACCACTCACCTTTTTCCCCTCATCAATTCTATGATTCACCTCCTCTTTCATAGACCCATCTGTTGACACAACCACTCCTAAATATCTGAATACATTCACGTCCTCCATACTCTGTTCCTCCAATCTGATATCCAATCTTTCATCACCTAACTTTTGTTTGTTATCCTCATCACCTTACTCTTTCCTATATTCAGGCCCGGTGGCCTGGTGGCTAAAGCTCCCGCTTCACACACGGAGGGCCCGGGTTCGATTCCCGGTGGGTGGAAACATTTCGACACGTTTCCTTACGCCTGTTGTCCTGTTCACCTAGCAGCAAATAGGTACCTGGGTGTTAGTCGACTGGTGTGGGTCGCATCCTGGGGGACAAGATTAAGGACCCCAGTGGAAATAAGTTAGACAGTCCTCAATGACTCACTGACTTTCTTGGGTTATCCTGGGTGGCTAACCCTCCGGGGATTAAAAATCCGAACGAAATCTTATCTTACCTTACCAAACTCATCCAGCAACCTCTGCAACTTCTTTTCAGAATCTCCCAAAAGCACAGTGTCATTAGTAAAGAGCAACTATGACAACTCCCACTTTGTGGTAGATGATCTTTTAACCCCACACCTCTTGCCAATACCCAAGCATTCACTTCTCCTACAACCCCATCTATAAATATAATGAACCATAGTGACATCACACATCCTTGTCTAAGGCCTACTTTTACTGGGAAATAATCTCCCTCTCTCCTACATACTCTAACTTGAGCCTCACTATCCTCATAAAAACTCTTTCACTGCTTTCAGTAACCTTCCTCCTACTCCATACGTTTGCAACATCTGCCACAGTGCATCCCTATCCAACCTGTCATACACCTTTTCCTAATCCATAAATGCCACAAAAACCTCTTTACCCTTATCTAAATACTGCTCACCTATATGTATCACTGAAAACACTTGGTCTACACACCCCCCTACCTTTCCTAAAGTCTCCTTGTTTATCTGCTATCCTACTCTCCGTCTTACTCTTAATTCCTTCAATAATGACTACCATACATTATACCAAGTATACTCAACAGACTTATTCCCCTATAATATTTGCACTCTCTCTTGTTCCCTTTGTCTTTATACAAAGGAACTATGCATGCTTTCTGATAATCCCTAGGTACCTTACCCTCTTCCATACATTTATTAAATAAAAGCACCAACCACTCCAAAACTATATTCCCACCTGCTTTTAAGATTTCTATCTTTATCCCATAAATTCCAGCTGCCTTACCCCCTTTCATTCTACCCACTGCCTCATAAACTTGAACTTCCCCCACACTCGCAACTGGCTCTTCCTCACTCCTACAAGATGTTATTCCTCCTTGCCCTATACAGGAAATCACAGCTTCCCTATCTTCATCAACATTTTCTTTTATTATTGTCAAATTCATACTGGCAACCAACACCAGTCATCATAACCCAAGAAAGAATAAAAGAACATGGAGAAGTAGCAGTCTCTGTGGTTCAAAGAGCCTTACACATTTCAGTTTTTCATACCTTGAGGCATAGCAATTTGTGTTCTGGTTTCGGTGGACCATGTAAGAATCATACCACCAGCACCTTGAATTATGGTGAGGGAAGCAGTAAACCAGAAGTTGAGACAATCAAAAGTACCTTAGCACTGACACAGGAAATTTATTTTATAGTTTAACTGAACATATGATAAAATTTAAGGGGTAGAAAGCATGAACAGTAGGAATACAAGTGTAGATCTCTTATTTCAGACCCTGAACAAAACCCTACATCTGATGAAACACACAATTGCAGAGAGGAAGTTTACTGAGACATTTCACCTGTGGAACAGGCTTCCATCACTGACAGAAGAAGCCAATTCCACAAGAAGGATGACTATAAAGTTACTCTCTGTAATTGCCTTATTTTCATCACTTGTCTGATTTGCACCATCTATCTGCAAAATTGTCTCTGCAATACAATAAATAAAAACAATAGAGC